TTTGAGTATTGTGAGAAAAGTGATTATTTATTCGATCTTGATTATGATTGCCAATCTGTTTTTTGTGCAGCACGAGAAAAACTGGTTCCTAGTTTACTAAAATATTTAGATAAATATATGTATATCATATTTATAATACTTGTTCTTCATGTCATTAAATATGTTTATCTTTTTCAAATGAACATGTTAGAAATAGCATTAATAATTTTGGTGATACTTCATTCCTTAGATCTTTGAGATTTGGTTTAGTATTAAAGATATGGTTCGATTAGCTTTATATTTTTGGGATTAAAGTATTTATCTAGTTTACAAAACCAGATAGATTTTTTTGTACACAACTCAAAATGTACAATCGTTCAGAATTAATAGAACCTCTTGATACAAACAAATTATATATATATGATGCGATAGATTCAACAACATTCAACCAAAAATATATATTATCATTACTAACAGTCTGTTTAGATAGAACCAAATTTACAATAAATGTATCAATAGATTCAGTTTTTTTTGATATCAAGTTATATTCAGAAGATGATTTAAAAAAATATGATAATGAATTTGAATCAGAAAGTTATGAAAAAATATATAGACAACCATTCGATTCAACAGAAAAATTCACATTTTTACGATTATATTACAACACTTTAAAAAAAAAAAGGGAAGCATTGAAAAAGATTGAAACTAAAAGAGAAGAAATTCTACTCGAAAGAATAGAAGAATTTGATAGATACTATGACACATATTCAGACAATCAAACATGCTATTACAGAACAGTTGCATATAAGAATGATTTCGAATTAGTTAAATGATATGAAATAAATACTTCAAGAATATTCAACAACATGTTAATTACATTTAAAGATATTAAAAAAATTGATTATTTTGAGGAACCAAAGCTTTTATTACTTTACTGGGATATTGAAACATTATCATCTCGAGGTCCAGGTTTTTTTCCTGTGGGTGAGAAAGAAGATGATTATGTATACATGATCCAATTTGATATTATATTTTACAATGAATCTATTCCTCGAAAGAGATTTTGTTTATCAACTATTCCTATAAACAGTCAAAAGTTTTATTCAAAATATAATTCAACAGAATTAATCTTCATTGAGTTGCCAACTCAGGAACAGCTTTTGTTGAAATTTGCTAAATTAGTTGGAAATTATGAACCAGAATTTGAGATTGGTTACAATACAGGCCAATTCGATTGGAACTTTGTACTCAAAAAAGCCAGTCTGTTAAATATAGATAATGAATTTATCAGACTGTTAACTAAAACTAAAACAACTTTTTAGTTAAATATACAACAAGTGACAGTATGAGTTGTTGATTGTGACATTGATAAAGATAATTTAAAATATGAATTTGCAAGAATCAATATAAACAATCGAAAGATCAAGATATCTCCAAATGAAACTATGAAATATGAATTCATGCAAATCCCATGAACAGTATTTCTTGATTTTTTGGTCTGGGCCAAGAAAACATTTCAAACAGAGATTACTAACACTCTCGATGCAGTACTAAAACATTGTGGCCTTTCTGAAAAAATCAATTTACTATATATGCCTACAAAAAACAGCACAGATTTACAATGCATGTTTGTTTATGTAAATGCAATAAAGTTTAAAAACAACAAACAGATATTAGAAAAATTATCTGATCAGCTGTCAAAATTAATAAACATTCCTTTTTTTGATTGTTTAAATGCATTTGAAGTTTCAGAATCAATGTTGGAAGATTATGCAATAGAGCTAGCATATTATTGTTCGGTTGACACATTGCGATTACATGAATTGAACTTAAAGTGAAACATAATCAGTGATTATGTACAAAAAGCCAGAATCGCATGTGTGATAATATTCAATATTTTTACTAATGGTATTGGATGTTTGATATGAAATTTGCTTAGCAAATATGCATCACTTAAAAAGATTTTAGTATCATCATGATGCAAAGGAATTGTTGAACAAGGAATGTATGATAGAGGTCTGGTCATTACACCAATTAATAACATTAAAAGACCTATAGCAGATGTTAATTTTACTTCATATTACCCCCATGCTATTATACAAAACAATATATTTCTTGAAAAATGTGTATCAAAAGATTCAACTAATTCACATTTAAATGTTGTAATTGACAATAATATTGTTTATGGTAAATTTTTATCACACAACAATAATATAAACAAGATGAGTATTATGGCTCTTATGTGTAAAGAATTATTAAAAAAACGAAATGATGTGAAGCAAAAAATGAAATTGTATAAAAATGATAAAACAAAACTTCTATATTACACTTTATTATCAAATGTGTTAAAAATATTTGCAAACTTAGTATATGGCGAGACAGGTTATAGATATTCACCATTATATCATAAGGAAGTTGCTTTATCAGTTACAGCATTTTGCCGAGCAACATTAAAGATCATGATTGATTTTGTGAGAGAACAAGAATTTATAGTAGTTTATGGAGATACAGATTCTATATTTTATTCATTGCCAGAATTATATTTTACAGAACTTGATACTAAGTACTCTGATGGATTATTATCAAAAAAAGAGTATTGGGAGGAACAGATCAAATTAACAATATTACACTCAAAGATACTAGAAAAAAATATTAATGAATACTTGAAACAGATTATGAAATCTATATACTTGAAGATGGCTTACAAAAAAACAATGTATTCCTTTTTAATTTTTGGAAAAAAGCATTATGTCGCAATTACTCATTCAGATGTGCCAGATTTAAATAATTTAAATTTATTATTAAAAGGTCTCAAAACCATCAAACATAATGTACCAGAATTTTACAAACTAGTAGTGAAAGAATTAATATATTCTTCACTTGGATTCAATAAAAATTTTTCGATCAGACAAGAAGAAATAGACCAAAAAGAATTAGTAATACAGATAATCACTAACTATGTTAATAAAAAAGAAACACTATTAGACTTGTTTGTTTTTACAGCCAAGTTTGATCCAACATATGCTTTAGTATCAGCAGTCGATTTTGTAAAATTATTAAACAAAGATCTGTCAAAAGAAAAACAAAATGAAATACTTAAGCAAATTACAA